AAAATTATATATATAGTCAAACAGAGCTGCCCAGTAAACCGTAGGCAGAGAGGGAGAAGAGGACAACAAACGAGGGGCTGTGGCAAACTGTTTCGTTGGAGTTTCACCGACTCATCAGGAGGCTGAACCCTCAACAGTCTGCAGAATCCCTTAACTAATGACACTGTAAGTGATAATCCACCTTAACCCCAGTTGTGGTTAAGCATCAACGACTGCCCGACAACTGATACCCTGAGGTGGGCACCAACCACTGCCCTCAAGGTACCTGTATATATATATCGTCACAAACAGAACTGCCCGGTAAAACCGTAGGCAGAGAGAGAGAAGAGGACAACAAACGAGGGGCTGTGACAAACTGTTTCGTCGGAGTTTCACCGACTCATCAGGAGGCTGTATGTTTGACGATATATATTTTGTCAAACAGAGCTGCCCGGTAAACCGTAGGCAGGGAGGGAGAAGAAGAGGACAACAAACGAGGGGCTGTGACAATATGTACATCGTCAAAATATATGCAATAACCCATGCAGTATGCCTCGTGGAATGTCTAAGGGCCTCGCCAGGCCATACTCAGACCCAGGCTGAAGGGGAAAAATGGCCCTACGTAGATTCAGGGCCTGAGCGGGTGCAGCCCAGGCCGCCGGTCAGACGCACACACTTGTTTCTATCCAGGTACCCAGACAGCATCAGGACCAAAGGGAAGTCTGCAACTGTACACAATCCAGGCCCTCAGCTGTGAGTCAATCTGTACGACTCTGGGTGGGAGTCCAGAAGCCAGACTGCCTTGTCAAACACTACATAACGCTTGGTCTCCAGGAGGTGAACATTCAGTCTTGCTATGCTGCCTTGACGCTGGCTGGACGTTGGCTTGCGGCTGGCTGAACACTGGCACTGTGGACAACAACGTGGGACTGTGGCAGCATGCTGGCGCCTTCTCTGCTGAGCGCCAGCCTCTGCTGATGTGGCACATGCCACCTGTCTTCATTGCTGATGTGGCGCACGCCATCTGTCTTCATTGCTGATGTGGCACATGCTACCTGTCTCTATTACTGATGTGGCACTGGCCACGCTGTCTACATGAGGTGATTGGTCGCGGCAAGGAGGGAGATCGGGATCTGTGGATGATTGGGGAACTGGTTCTCACCTGAGGTTGACGTCCATACCGTGCACTGCTGTTGTCTTCATTGTCTCCACGAGATGACAGTGCCACGTGGCACTTCTACGTGATCAGGACTTGACAGACTTGCTACTGGACATTGATTGATGACGTGGAGGCGAGGGGAAGCCCGGAGAAGGACTGGGTAATGTTTGGGCTACTCTTCTGGTGGTCATTGATAATCTCTTCCACCCTCTTATTTGTCTATTCCCCCTCCACTCTCTTCGTCCATTGGTAACGAGACGTTGTATCAGATATCACTTTCACAATTACTGGAGACATTGTGCAGATCTGAGACAGCTTGTACTTCGACGTCTGACGAGTATCTTCCAGTCTGGGTTCAATACATAGCGATGGTCCTTGTATTATCCAATTTCTTCTTCGCCCCCATGATGCTCTCGTCCTGCCCCTGCTTGCTCATCTGCTGCTACCGCAGTTTCCATTGCTGCAGTCTCCACTCCTGCAGTTTCCACTGCTGGAGTCTCCACTCCTGCAGTTTTCACTGCTGCAGTGTCCACTGTTGCGGTTTCCACTGCTGCAGTTTTCACTGCTCCAGTTTCCACTGCTGCAGTGTCCACTGTTGCAATTTCCACTACTGCAGTGTCCACTGCCGCAGTTTCCATTGCTCCAGTTTCCACTGTTCCGGTTTCCGCTGCTGCGGTTTCCACTACTATAGTTTTCAGTACAGCAGTTTCCCTAATTGTAATTCCCCCTACTTTAGTTTTTACTGCTACAGATTCCTGTCCTGCAGCTCCAATGCAAAGAACATCACAATCTCTCCGACGCTCACGTCCTTTGCTCCGAAATCTTGCCCAATGCACCCGGCTCTCATCTTTGTCTGTGCTTGGCCGTAGACGACTGCGTTCCTCCTCACCACCCCCATCTCCTCCATGGTCTCACCTGCGAACAGACTCTCCAGTTTCCATTGTTCCCATTGTTCCACCTGTGTTGCCAGGTACAAGTTCAATTCTGTTCGCAACACCACTACTCCTCTTGTTCTGTATCAACAACGACATCCGCGGCATCGTCACTTGTCCGGGGATCAGCAACCTGTTTCTTCGTCTGCCCCGATTCTCTCTGTGCCTCCTCCACAGGTTGTTGCGGTTCCTTTGTTTCAAACGGCAATATCCGCTCCTATGCCTCCTGCAGACAGTCCAGCTGCCTGCAGGCAACCACCAGCCCCTACTCAGGATGCAGCCGCGGCCCAGAGTACACTCCCGACTCCAGGTACAGTTCCTACTCAGGATGACACCCTAAACGTTGAGGGATTGGAACATGATCTGCCCGGATTGCAGTTGACCCCACAAGGCGTAGACCACATGGGGGATCTGCAAATGGCTGACCAGCATTGTTCGAATGAACCACAATTTTGTGCTCCACCACACGCAGACCACATGGGTGATCTGCAAATGACTGACCAGCAAACAACCTAACACAGTTTGGGCTTGCAACACCATCTGGGTAATCTGCAAATTGTTGGCCAGCATCCAACAAACCAGCCTGAGAACCTCACCAATCTCTGTGGTCTGACAGCAACTAATATCTGTCTTCACATTCTCCATCGCCCGTTTTATACACCATCAGACTTCCTTTTAATCGCCCTTCAGCTTGATGCTGATCTTCCCCAACGGCAGCCAGAGGATTGCAATTATACCGGCGAAGGAGGCTTTACCATTGCTGTCCTACAAGTAGCAATGAGGGACCGTCAACTTGAACTACGCAATGCTCGAGCAGGTGAGTGGTTTAATCCTCCATCCCACATCTCTGCCTGCATTGTGCACGGCCCTGGCCATTACATGGCCATTGTACATGCCTCTGACCACTGTGAGCTGATTGATGTCACTGATTTCTTACAAAATGATGCTGTTTTCTTGCCACAACAAACCGTCCGCAAGATCATTCCTCTGCATGCATGCTGCCTGCTGAATGCTGAATGCAGGTCATCTGATATGTGCAGTGTTGGGGGCTCTGCATGTTTGTTGCCTGCTGCTGTGATGTCTGCTGCATGCATGTTGACGACACTTAGACTGACATAGATTGAAGAAGACTGACGAGAAGAACAAGAAGAAGAACACTGACGAGAAGAACAAGAAGAAGAACACTGACGAGAAGAAGAAGAAGAAGAAGAAGACTGACAACTTGCAGGAAATCTTCGAGTTCTTTAGCAGCATATCA